TCTAAATCTCAGATCGAACCAAGGGGCAAAACGACCACTTCTCGACCAAACGGCAAGCCACACTTTTACGGGGAAGGCAGAACTTTCCCAAATCTTAAGTCTCGTGGGCGATCATGTTCACCTTCTCAACCGGCGACGCTGAAAAGACTACGAGCCAGCCAAGGTCGGTCTTAGACTGTCTTTTGAGACGCTTTTTCTAGTGGACTTCAGTACCATTTCAAGTTCAGGCTTTGCAGAAAAACGAAGTAGCCCAGACCGCTCAGGTTTGTCTGCTCCGTCGTGTGGCAAGTGAGGTGAAAGCCCACTTGTGGGTTCCCGAAACTTATCCTCCCGTCCAGCTGTGAACAGTACCAATCGAGAGTAGAGTAGGCTTCTTGCGTCTTCAGGCTTCTCGGAGTCGTCTGTTTAGGACATTCGAGACAAGGCGAGCCCTCCTCCCTAACCTTCCAAGCTTGAGGCATAATATCATGATCGAAGGAAGTCGTTCTACGATCTCATCCGAGACTGAAGGAAGACTTTTGCATTACGCGACGAAGTCAACGGTTCACCGTCCTGCGATCGCAAACAATCTGTGCTAAGCTTTCGTCTGTAGCACAGTGACAGACATCATCAGAGCAACAATCCGTACTTTAAGAATCAGAGCAAAAATACACAAAACCAAGAGAATAGGGTGATCGGCTGCAACCCTAGTCGCTTTTGTATATACCTAACTTTGCGATCCTAATGGAGCATCGTATGATTTGGTTGGCTACCTCCACGTCACTCTATATTAGAGTATCATACGCAATGTTGTTTGTTGCGGTTACTTTCATTTCACCAGATGAGCACGGATGAATCCCGTTTGGTTTTTTTTCGTGCTCCAGTTGAAGCAGTCCACGAAACCTCCTCCCTCGCCTCGGGTGAAAACGTGCTGAGCTCTCGTCCATCATATGATGCACATCATCAGAGCTGGGTCCCATTCCTGTAAAGGTCTTACGTTTACACTAGGACAAGAAGATTATCCGCCTCTATCTTGACTTTTATATAGACTCAATTAAGCAAAAAAGAAAATTAAAAATCTAGATAGATATAGAGTGCTTTCGCTAATTATCTTTCATACATTTGCTCGAGTGTGTGTGTATGTGTGTGTGTTAGCGTCTATTTGCAATAGCGGTCGTAAATAAGAGTTGTCAAAGTTTCAATCTCAGGTTTAGATCCTCAAGACCTAATGAGCCAAGAGAAAGCCTTGACCGAGACTGCGTAAGTCCGTAAGCAAGTATGGTTGATTGAATGAGATATGAGCTTGTAAGCATGTGAGTCAAGTTACGAAACCACTTGTTCTAACCTCTCGGTCTGAGGTCATTAACGTTTAACCCCCCAAGGAAAGGCATGATTGGGGCTGTGTACTCTGGCATATCTGGTTTGGTTGCTGAGTTTGTTGGACGAGTGTGAGTGAAGTTAGAACCATCACCGAGCAGACAAGTTGAGTCGCCATCTTTAGGACGGCGGCTTAACACCCTCTCTCTCTCCTTCAATCTATCAATCAAACATAAATAGTTCCTATTCAACTTTCTACCACCGTTCTTCACATTCAACGTATTTCCTAATCTGTCAATTGCAATAGCCTCTCTTATCTTTCTTTTAACCACAGACGTACTATAATCAGCAAATCGACTTGTTTGAGAGCATTCGATCTCATGTCCAGTTTCTACCATGTGTTCGGCTGCTTCTGACTGTTAGGCACAGCTTCATTTACAATCATTTTTGTGTTCTCCCAATCTTCGTCGAATAGGTCTGCATGTCTCACCAACATAACATCGACCACATGAGCAAACAATCTTGTAGCAACCAGATCTCGATAATGGGTCATATTTCTTTCTAAAAGATGGCATAGCAGAAGAAAGTTTGAGGGTTTCTATGAATACTGTTTTTATGCCCGACTGCTTCATTAATTCGCCTATCCTTTTTGTGAGAAAGCATGTCAGTAAAATTAGGACTAAATGGTCTCCGTCTAAAAATGTATTCCTCAGTAAAGAGATATTATTCTCAATAAGGCCTAAATGATAATTATTTTCCAGGAATATATTTTTCAGCCGGTCCAACTCTTTAGTCAAATGTTTGCTATCCGCTAGCCTTCAAAATTCCAACCTTTCTTTTGTAACTATGGTAAACTCGATCCTGGCGGGACTGCAGTTTCGGGCAGCGAGGCTTTGTGAAACTCAAGAGAAAAGTAAGGCCAACTAT